GTGAAGCCCTTCCGCATGCTAGGATGGTCTGCCGGGATGAGCAGTACAAGAACAAGGCAATTGTGTTCTATTCGCTTGAGCATTACTCAAAGCTCCTTGAGAACGTCGATGGGAAAAGTATGGATGGCAAGCAGCAACTGTTGCTCAAAGACTTTGAGCATCTTTTCGCACTGTATACCCAGATATTGCTATCTGAGAGCTTTTCACAGGATAAAGCGGAAAAGAACGACGTCGAATACATTCCCTTTGACAGTAACATCACCTGTTCATACTGCAGGTGCAATATTTTTAATCGGTTCTTGACTTGCCCGTGGTGCGCGGGCGGACAGACTGCCGATGGCGAGGACCCCTACGATATCTGCATGGAATGTTATGTCATGGGCAGAAGCTGCGCTTGCCTCTCGAGATTAAAGTGGGCTGAACAGTTTCCTTGGAGTGAGCTGACCGGGAATTATGAAAATTGGCGAGACCAAATATGTCGGCTCAACCAGAGCAACCCGAGCGGTCAGATCTTCTGGCCCCTCGCCGAGGAGCGAGCTCGCTACGGCAAGAAAACGCTAGCTGAGATGTGCCAGGAGGAATTGAAAAGACGACCGTGGGTTGATATCACCAAACCAGTGACGCGCAAGATCGAGGATCATTTGAGCGATTCAGAAAGCCCCGCTCGAAAACGGAGGAAGACTCGCCTCAGCCACGAATCTGAAGAGGGTGGTCGCTGCCACATCTGCAAGTATATTGAGCCGATATGGAAGCTCGCTTCTTGCGACTATTGCAACCAAAACTACTGTTACGGTAGTCTGTTTAGAGCCTTCAATATCCAACCACATGAAACCATGGAAGTGTATCGTTGGATGTGCCCTAAATGCCAAAAGGTTTGCAGTTGCGCAGCGTGCCGTCGAGATCCCTCGATGAAACCATTCGAACCAACCTGTACACTACTCGGCCATGATACAAGGAAAATAGCGGATCCTCGCAGTGTGGAAAGCTTGGTCGACTTCCGGCAGTCGAATCTCAGGTGGTTAAAAAAGGCAGGCGACGATGAGATAGAAAGACTGAAGAAGCATCAAAAAGAGGCAGACGAAAAGCGTCAACAGGCTATGATTGAATATCGTATCCAGTTGGAGGATTCTCCTCGAGTATCCGCCCAGGCGACGGAATATGGCGACATACCAGTCGATCCCGTATTGGAGAAATTAAGTGGCTCAATTCTTACCCCGCCAGATTCCATCACTCCGTGAGACAGAAAGAAAGTTCTTAAAATGGAAGAGAACCATAACGTGTCCGGTTCGGCTTCATCTCAATTAGGCGGTTTAGGACAGATCAGACGCAAGTATGACAAGCCAGTCGTGGTACTATTCAACGATTCAATGAGAGAGGATTAATCTACTCAGCGTCTGGAAATCAGTATGCGGTGATATGCAAGGATTTTGTTCTTTTCAGGCCCAGCTCTATCGTTGAGATTTGAGCGCATTTTTGACCCCCAGCCATGCTGCCATTCGTCGCTGATTACATATAGAATATGTTAGTGACAGAATAAGACATCCCAGAGAGGAACAAGTGAACCTAAGGTCGTTCGACATGCACAAGATTCGCCTAGGCGCCCTTGTAATCATAGCGGAGGTTCTCAAGATGCCTGATGTCGACGGACGCCATTACTTTCCGCGCTATCAAAATGGTCGCGAGTATTGCTGTGGTGCATAAGCTCTCGCACTTGAGGCCAGAACATGTCGGTCAGAAGGTAGTGGCGGGCCCGAGACTCACCTGCCGGAATGAAGTATGTAACGACCGCAGTCGGCGAGGCCATGATAGATGCAAGCGCCAATAATGCACACGATGCAGCGTTAGTAGGGATGGCATATTTTTGGACAGACGTGATGAGGTCTGTCTTTGTGATTGGCCTTTTCCCTTTCGGGTCTGGATGCTCGATTGCATGATACTTCATAGTATAGGCCGTCAACAACAGGGAAATGACACTTAGCATGGAGAGAAGCCGTTCAGATAAAGTCGATGAGCTTGAGATAATCGGTGGGACGTATATCGTTGCTGACAAGAGGGGAATGACCGAGAAGATGATCTATATGCATCATCATATTTAGCTCTGGTTTCTGTGCTGATAATGTCAACGAGGATAGAGGAGTGTTCACAGTATACTCAGAATTCCGCTTGTCATTCTGTGTCTGTAATTGTCTAATTACGACTTCTTGTTCTACAAATCTCTATCAGTATATAGTATATACGATGAAAGACACATAACAGACCCTCTTCGTCTAGCTCTTCTCGGCCCTGTTCATCTTCACCTGAATCATCAGGGTATCGAAACGCTTTGCGAAGTCTTGTAGTAGCCATAAATCATATGTCTAGCTATATTGACCGAAACCGTAGCATGAAAGTTGAGGCAACTCTTTGGCATCAGAGGAAAAGGAGCTCCTAGAACAATCCCGCGTGACGTACAACGGCGCTGGCTCAGAGGGTTGGTTTGTCTTGTTTGGCAACTTTGTTCTTTTAGGTAGTCGCTGGTGCAAAACATTCCACCATCTGGGCTACCACTCACTGCATGACGGTTGCCTACTTGTTACTCGTCTTTTCTCGGCTCTTGTTAGTCCTTTCGCAACTGATCTGACAATGGCACTTCATACTGCGCAAAGGCGCATTGGCGTCCCACGAGCCTTCCTGTTTCGTCGCCGCAATATGCCTCCTCACCGCAGTCTTATTCCCGCCCCCAAGGCCAACTCGGGCCCTTTGATGGAGCGACGGGCGGATCGAGAGCTTCCTTCTATCAATTCTGAGAAGCGCCGATGGATCAAGACGCTGCCGATATTCGTGGTAGTTGTGGGAGCTGCCATGCTTGGCATATTCAATTACCAGAAGTCGTCGTCGAGCGTTGTGAGCAGCACGCTATATGCCCTTCGAACGTCACCTCGTGCACGAGAAATCCTGGGAGACGAAATCTACTTTGCTCAAAAGATACCGTGGATTAGCGGGGAAATGAATCAGCTTCATGGTCGTATTGATATCTCCTTTTGGGTGAAGGGGACAAAGGGTCAGGGTAAAATGCGGTTCCGAAGCATTAGGCCGGACCGCATGAGCTTTGTGCGTGACTTTGCCTGATACACCACTTTCAAGACCCAGCTAACAGTTCTCGCTTCCGAACAGTTTCGCACTGAAGAATGGAGCCTAGAGACGGAGGACGGCCAAGTCGTGCAGCTACTTGACCATGACAGTGACCCTTTTTCCCAAAGCAATTGAACCATCATTCGGACATGAAACCCCACCAAGGATCATTGGCACACATGATTTTTATAGGTTTGTACATCGGAGTAATCTTCATGCATATGATTAGGCGTTTTTTCGGCTTCGGACTGTCAGCTCACCAGCTATAGCGTGTGGAGAAAACTGTTCCGAGTGATTCGGAGGAAATGCCAAACAGGATATCATTTATGTATCATATACGGACGCCGCTCTAGAAACAGGATAGTGTAATAGTACATTGAAGGGATCAAGACTCCAGTATCTCGTGGGCTATGCAGCCGATTCGGATACATGTGCAACCTCTGGCCAGGGCTTTTTGATAGCGTCCTGAATCCTGACTACGCATCCTTTAGGCCCGCTGACGGAACCTGCAACAAGATCAATATCGACCATTAACAATGCTGTATTGAACGTTGGGTAGCGGAAAACATACCGTTGACAACGACAATACCGTTCTCTGCGTCAACCTTAAGAACTTTCAAGTTCTGCACGGTATTTTGCTCATTACCCATGTTTCCCGCCATTTTCTTTCCGGGATACACTCTGGAACCACCACCTTGACTAGGCCCGGCTGAACCAAGCGACCGATGGGTTAAACTGACACCGTGACTGCGGTCCTGTCCGTGAAAGCCGTGTCGCTTCATCACACCGGCGAACCCTTTACCCTTAGAGTTGGACCTGGCATCGACATACTGACCTTCCTGAAACCAGTCTGCATTGATTGTTTGGCCGACAGGTAAGAGGCCACTCTCATCTTTGACACGGAACTCGTAAATGTGTCTCTTTGGCGAGACACCGTTGGTCGAAAAATGGCCTAAGAGTGACTTCGTCACATTGCTGGGATGCTTCCAACCGGCACCGACTTGAACGGCATTATAGCCATGCGTCTGTCTTGTCTTGTGTGAGACGACTTGTACTCGATCGAGCTGCAGAACAGTGCAAGCGATGCGTTTCCCAGTTTCGGCATCGTATACAGCGGTCATTCCTTTCTTGATAGCGATGGCACCGGTCCGAAGAGGTAGAGTATTCGCCTTGCGTTCCAAAGCAGCCGTGGTCGTCGACTTAAGCACAGGTAATTCAGGACCGATATTGAACCGAGAGGGTTTAGGTGGATTTAGTGATTTTATGCCGAAAGATCGTACAGGCACATTGCCAGTGATAGTGAGCGATTGAGGACCCAGGAAGAGAATAGGAAGCTGCGGCAGCTTCCTTGACAGTCGAGGCGACATAATGACTATCGTTTGACCGGTGATTGAATGCTACTCGAAACAGTCTCGTCCCTTCGGCATTCTTTTGAGATTTTCCCAACTGCGGAGAGCGAACGGAGAAGGGCTAAGGCGGTCAATAGCGTTTTGCCTGAGGTGTCAATATCGGGTAAATATACAACGGCCGATTGAAAGTCCTTACTTGGGGGTATCTCGCACCAAGCACTAGTACAGATGATAAGAGGAACGGTCCTGATGGAAGCAAGTTATTGAAACGGAATTTCATTATGCTAAGTCCGGGCGAAAGTCGTTATCCAGGTGTATCCGGCGCCTGCACAATAGAGTCATGCAGAGTATGTCATCCTGGCGCCCGGACGTATCGGCACGCCGAGCACCGGAGACTGTATCGAATCCTCAATTGGTAACTTATTATTTTCTTCCCTTGGTGCACGTCATTAAGAGTGAAGGCATCAACTCCTCACAGGCGCACTTCAGCTTGTCTTTTCAATCTTCTAACAGCTTGGGTCCTGCAATACCCTCTTAATCATGTCTTTGAAATTCATATCCACACCGCGGTGGTTTTCGCACTTCATCGGTCAAGCCGGCCATGCGCCCTCATCGTCTTTTGTCAGAAAGAATGCCACATTTTCACAGACACTGTTTACGCCCAATGTAGTTGCTTCATTCCCGTCTTGTCGAGCATTTGCTTCCTCCCCCACTTGGAAGTCCAATCCACAATATCGGATATTCTTCCCCCGCCGATCGGGGTCAACTACTACTTTTACATACAGCCCCCCCAGCACTCTGCAACGGTCAATCTTCCGGCGATTCAACTCATCGAGGGCAAATCAATCGGCACGGCCGGCTGAGTCAGGCTCGCTGTCTCAGCGGCTGAAGAAGCTGTCCAGGGAGTATGGCTGGGCTGCGCTGGGTGTTTACCTGCTGTTATCAGCCATGGATTTTCCCTTCTGTTTCATTGCGGTCCGCCATTTGGGCGCAGAACGAATAGGCCACTATGAACATGTTGTCGTCGAAACAGTCAAAGGCTTATTCGGAGCAAAGTCTGCACCGGAGGAACAGAGCCAGGAGGTCTCAGCCACCCAGCCTGACCAGCAAACCACAGAAGCTCAGAAGAAGAATAATGGCGATGGACCCAGTATGATGTCCACTGACTTGTCTTAATCCCTGTCTCTTCTCTGAATTTTTGCTGATCTGTACGTTCTGTTCTTTGCGCAGGTTTGTGGACTCAGCTCGCCCTGGCGTATGCAGTTCACAAGAGTCTCATCTTCATTCGCGTACCCCTCACCGCTGCCATCACCCCCAAAGTCGTCAAGGTCCTAAGAGTATGGGGGTGGGATCTCGCGAAGCGGAGGCCAAGGGGCATGTAAACCCCGGAATCGCTCCCTGCGAAGTGCACTTCGAACACCTCGTTGAGCCCTAGGTCACTTCCTACTGTGGAAAATGATCATGTCTTTGCAAATATTGTCTTCTCTACTCTTTTCTATTCTTATTGGCATAGCGAATTGTAAGACTAGAAGGTGTATTATAAATGGTTGTAGCTGCAAAATATAATATCAAAGAGACGTCGCATCGTAGTCTTGCCCATTTGTACATTTCCAGCCGGGGTATTCCTCTCAAGCGATGCTGTTGAACAGTAACCAATAGAGTTGATATGCAAAAGAAGAAAGTAGACATGATATAGCCGGGCAGCGACTTCGTTCCCCGGTAGAGACAAAAGCGATTCCACAGATAGGAAGAGACACCGGGGACGCCAAACAGTAGAAAAGCAAAAACAAGGAGACTAGCGACAAATGAAGTCAAAATCCCTCGGGGAATGGAAAGCAATAACATGTCTACAACGGCTCAATGAACATCCACCCAAGATTGATCAAAGATGGCGGAAATATGGACGATAGTATAAGTGATCGTGACAAGAGACAAAGAAAGAGAGCATTACATGTCAATCATGTCGTTGAATCTCAGAATGCCGTTGGCTTTCATAACACCATTGACACCCTCAGGCATTCGGTATGCCCACTCGGCGACGCCCATCGTATCAGCAGCTGCCAGAGGATTTTTTCTCTCTGGTTCTTCATCTTCGTCGGATGTATCGGCTACAAGGACGAGACCAAGGCCTTTGATTGTTTCCACAAGAGCTGGGACAACATTCTATAACCCGTCAGGGACGATATGTTAGCTGTAAATCTCTCCCTTTTCTTGGTGCCGAATTTATGGTGGGGCGTTGTGGATAAGCAATAATGAAAGGGGGAATAACGACGTACCAGAAGACTAGAGCGGCATATTAAGCCCATGAAGTTGTTGCTCTGCGCAATACGTGCTGACTCCTTGATTGACATTGACGCTCGACCACTGCTGTCTACATCTGGCAGGGAACCGATATCCCGAGCCAAGTCCCGAATTTGGCCGAGATCATTGCAAAGGAGTACCGGAACTAATAGACGGAGCTCAGGATTAGCCATAGAAACGAAGGCATGCGCGATAGCAATCACTTACAGTTCGGCTGCTTCCAGTTAAGAGCTGTACATATATTATGATTATACGAGGTAAAGACCACAGAACGTAAGAAGTCCGGATTGTGCTCTCTTGCAACACGCGCATGATCGAATACCTCAGTCAGAATGGCGTCCGCGAAGCTATTGACGTCGGCTAGAGATGCCATATTCAGCTCTCGTTCTTCGGCAGGTGACGGATAGAGAATAGATAGATTGACGCTGACGCTGATCGGAAGGTGCCGCAGTACTTCCCGCAAGGAAAAAAAGGATGCTGCAAGAAGACGATGGGTTTGTGCAATATTGTTGGTAGCGTTCTCTTTCAGGAACTGTATCGTCTCAGCTTGATTCACGCCTCGCTCAGCGCCGACCGACTTGAATTCATTGAATGACAGGTGGCAGATGGGTATTTCCACACTATGATGCTGAATGGTGAATCGCGGATAAAGCACAGGTACTCTGTCCCTGGTGAGCTGAACAAATAATTGAACATGATCCCCTGATAAGCTAGAACCTGTCACCAGGCCATTGTGTTCAGAGTCGAGCGCACTGGTCGCCTTCCAATATGTCGCAAAGTGTGTAATCTCGAGAGGATCACCATGGTAAGGTTTGATAACTTGAAAGCCGAACCGTAGCTGGCCGATTGAGCGCAGTCTAGGATCAAACAGTGGCAGCGTGCATAACCCGGTACTGGATTTTTCGGCTCTAAACACGGTAGGTAGAGCGACACTTTTAGCAATCACTTTCGAACCAAAGGTAGGAAAGACCTCAAAATCAACAGCAAATGATTCTAGGTTATCGACATGAAAAGAGATGGTCCTGGAATCTTCCTGAATAGGGAGCATGATTGTGCGAGGTATTAAATCGGAAAGCTTCGACGAAATGGTCAACCGAGCAGCAGGATGGCGACCTGCTTGGTCAAAGCAAAGCGAGCCTGAGCTACCTGGCTCGAATAGAATTTGGACGAATACCTTCTTATCCAGGAAATTGTGTCCGTAGCGTCTCAAAGGAATAATGGGTGGGGGCAGTGAAAGGTCAGGAATGCCATCAGCAGTGTCCATGTCACCCGAGGCGGCTATCTCGTGATTCATGGTAGTGGAACTTGGTTCCTGCAACCTCAACCCATTGAGGATATCGAGGGGCTTTTGAGGTAATTGTGACTCACTACGATGAGACCACAGAAGGAGCATGCATTCCAGATGTCCTTCCCATGCGGCATAGTACATCGCAGACAGCCCTTTCTCATCCACAGCACTGGCGTCGACCCCGAGTTCTAGTAGGGTACGCAAACAATTCACACAACCTTCACTCGCTGCGTGGAAAAGCGGTGTCCATTGATACAACTTGTCCCTCTGGTCCATATCAGCTCCGTGCTGTTTGAGAAGGAGCAATAGTTCTGGGGGCTGGGAAGCACGTGCAACCATGTGCTGAGGGTAGAGTCCCTCAGCGTCCGGAAGCAGCTGGGCATTTCGTTCGAGAAGCATTTTGACTATCGGTATTGATCCGTGCTGGCAGGCGAGGTTGAGAGGGATATGGTCTGATTCCGATGCCGGTCCAATGCGAGCATTGTGTTGGAGAAGCTGCTCAGCACATGCCAACTGATCCTTGACGATGCTATGAATCAACGGTGTAAAATTGTTGTGATCCGCGGTGTCTACTGTATCAGGACCAACAGCCAACAGCTCGCGCACCATATCAACGCGACCATGCATACAAGCATAATGCAGAGGTATCCTGCCGTACACATCTGATCTGGACACATCGACCCCTGCTGAGATACCTGTCTTGAAAACAAAGTCTCGCCCTGAAATAGCGGCTTCATGTAAGCAATTTCGTTCATTGATATCATCTTCGGCATTGATATCAACTAATCCACTCTCCAGAAGAACTACAAGCACTTCATCGGAGTATTCGTTGATTGCTGCGAGAAAGGCCCGAGTCGCACGATCCCGGGCATCGGGGGCAGTATGAAGCTTGGCAGTCCACTCGCGTAGGGTTTGCAGACTGCCGGTAGTGGCAGATTGCAGGATTTGCGCATCGAGATCTTCCTCGTCGGTCCCAAAAGGCGGACCAACCCGGTCAGCTGGACGGGCTGTATCAAACTGGATATTTTCGCCTTCCGCCCATGCTTCGAGTTCTAGGCGGGCTGTTGTTGCTCGGTCTGAAAGATCACGCAAGACGTCTCGATTGAAACAGGGTTGCACTTCGACGGCTCGATGGAGATACAGCTCCTTCATGCGAGACTACCAAAAGAATAATTGGTGAGTCTGGGACACGGAAAAAAAGGGTAGTACCCAATGCAAAGAGAATAAAGTCGTTCCAACCTTTGATGTTTTATCCCACTACATATTCCGTCAGCCGCAGTTTCCAGTAATTTGTCAACCTCTCCGCTTTGAGTGACGAACCTTTTTCAGAATTTTGGACATGGCAGTCTCATTTATTGCGACAAATTGCTATCGCAGAGAAGATACACCGCATTAGCACCAGAGTGCCAAGAAACCAATTCCAATGAGGCACACTCACTTGTAATTTGTTCAAGTCGCCATCGAACTGTTGAAACCCTTCGATCAAGGCCACGAAATTGGCTGGAGCCTTGGAGTGCGACACTGCCCGAGACTGAACGACTCGTTTCTTGTCCAAGAGGGTTTTCAAGCGCAGAGAGAACTATCCTCCAGTCAGCCATCGTGATATGGGGACACGCGTTTTGCCCGATAGGACAGGACATTCAAACCTCGGATTCTTTCTGCAGGTAAAAGGTATTGACTTTTTCAATCTCACGCTCCTATATTGACGGTTACTCAGTATTTGTCACATGCATCAGTGATTGCAAATCCATACAAGTCGGAAGAAGAACACTTCCTTATTTGCGCGAAGGGCGACTTGCGCATCGGGAGCATCCTGTCCTGCAACAGTAGCCTGCGCGGGCAATTTGGGCGTCGCGCTCAGTTGCTTTATGAGCTATTCACAGAAAGCTGGTCAGTAATAAGGAAGCCACTGTCCGCATCTAATATGGCCCGACCTTCTTCAGAGCCTTGTAGTTCACGAAGCTGGCGGCGTACTCCGGAAGATCAAGCTGCCTTCGTTGAATCTGCTTCCCGAACTTCCTATATATTGGAAATCATGATCAGCTCCATAAAGCAGTATTACTTGCGCCATCAAAAAAAGGATTCCTAATGCGCTGCCGGAACCTACATCTTGAGAAGTTCCTGTGCGAAAGTAAATGGTTCTTGAACCGACGAATACCCTTACTGGGGATGAGTTTCGAACAACGAAAACCCGGATATCGGCAGTAGCAGATCGTACACCGTCAATTGATCGCGTACGAAGCAGAAGAATGGAATGAACAGGTCAATCCGATAGGAAAGGATGAGGGAATTCCCTGCCCCTCTCTAAGCTCGAGACGACGACAGATGGACGATGAGGACGAATAGTCGAGTGGGTCAAGAGGACAGTCCGAAATCGTCAGTGGCGGTACGTATTAAAGAATAGAAACAATATCGGTAGGCGTTGTCCGGTTATGTAAATGAGAGGTCACTGATCCTCGCAGTGTGATAGTTTCGAGCTCAAAGGCGGAGAGAATCAAGAATGCACACATCCGGACCGGCCCAGAGAATCAAGAGAAATGAAAGAGGGGGAGGCCGGACATCTGTCGTAAGGGTCCCTGTTGGTTGAAGACCCAGAGTAGGAAGGAAAAGCACGAGAGGCAGATCGGGAGGTAATGCCTATAGAGTGCTGTCAAGTGTCAAAATAATAGTAGTAGTAATTAGTAGGTAGGACCTCGTCATTGGGGACTCGCTGGCAATTGCGGGCTAACAATGCCTATGGGAGGGGCTTTTTTGACCCCGCTTGTCTAGAGGGGTTAAAGCAAGTTGGAACAGGATTGAAACCAGAATAATAATAAAAAATAATATATGATAATTAGGGAAATCGAGACGATTTGACGGTGATTATTATTATTGATAGCGAGCAAGGGCAGTATGTACCAGAGTATCGACGGAGTACCTAAGCTCACGCCGCAGGCAGGAGAAACTAAGGTATGTACTAACGCCCTTACTAAGGCCGAACAAGAGAGTGGAGACCTCTGGGTAGCTGAATGCAGCAACCAATCACCACAGCAGATCTGCCCACGTTCTGACTACATAGTATGTGAACAGCCAGCATCTGTCGGATTTCTCTGCTGTATGGATCGAGGGCTGCCACTCCAGAAAGCTAATGTAGCCGATCAAGAAAACCAGTCCCTTTTGATTCCGATTGTTTGTTGCTGACTTACTCAGAAAAGTCGTGACAGACACCAACCATAGGCTGTTCGAGGGCAACGTGTTCTGCCGAATCCGTCTGGCAGCTGTGGCTAGGAAAATCCATCTACAATTTACGAAGTACACTCGCTTCACTTGGTCTGCTAGACGTGGCGGTTGTCTGAGACATCAGGTCCCTTGCTCAGTAAGGTAGCCACCACTTTGAATTCACTTAAGCTACTTTGAGTGAACGCTTGGTGATCTGATTATCCGAGTCATGTCTACTTCCCTCAGGCACATATCGCCGGCTTTCATAACGGTATGGTATAGACCTATGTGGTAGGACCTATTATCAATGCAGGCATTCCGTTCAGATGGATTGATTGGAACTTAGAGCAGGTACCCTACTACCACTGACCGGCAACAATTCAATGATGATTTGAAAATGGTAGTAGATAATACATTCTATGGTTGGTCCGGTGACTTACCTTAGCAGATATCTCTCTCCATAGTAGGTTGCTTCCGCGCTCTGCAGATTGCCGTTCTAAAAATATGACGTTTGAATAGATAACATACCCTGGGTCTCAAGCCAATCATCGGAATATTCAAGACTTTGATCGTCATCTGATGTCAGAGTGCATATTACGGAGTCTTAGGATCTACTTTAAACCCTTCATAGTTCACGGTGTTGCCGCCGCTGCGCTGATCCCTGCTTGATATATTTTAATACTACTCATCAGTAGCCAAGAAGATTAGCTACTTATGCCGGTCTTCTCATAGACAGACTCTCTCAGTGTTTTCAGGTCGTTTACTACCGGAATAACTCACACCGACTGTCTGTGTAGCTGGTGCTACACCGGTGGTTCCGACCACACTTGGAATACTCCGCCATGGTGTAGAGATCAATCAAGGGAATATACAGCGAACATGCCTGACGAAAGTACAAAGATGAAACTGTATGTATTTTAATGTGCGAATCTCAGAGGAATTACAGGACCATTGCATCCAAATATACAAAGCTAAGATGCAAGCAGTGTGACTCGACCCCACAAACTCGATCCAGAAAAGTCAAAGAATAACATAAAACGCAGATGACCATGGAACTGGAGATATTCATGCACGTCTGGAGCCGGTTGAGAATCTCCAATATCTCGGATATCAAATCAAAAATGCGAATCAACAGCAGGCAAGCGGCCAGAAGAGAGCCCAGAAAGACCCAGCGGTGTATAAAACTGAAAAAAGAAAACAAGAGAAAAAGACGGTGCCTTAGAGGCGGGAATACAGAATCTCATGAACATAAGCGAACTGTTAGAAGAAAAGGTACATCGAGCGAAGGAATCATTGGGAAATCCTCAAAGGATGGGCTATGAAAATAATGAGGAGAGGAGAAGAGAAGTAAGTCCAAGACAGATTTTGCGAGAAGAAAACAAGAACGGCGAATCGTGACCGAGGGAGATTGAATGCTGACGGCACAAGATGATACCGAACCGATTGGTCGGTAAGGTGCAGGTGGGAGAGGCCGGCCCACATCAATTCGAGTCCTTCGTCAGTATCCTGCGGCCGCAGAAGCACTGGACAGGACTCTACCATATCCGGCAAAGACATAGAGGATTCATGTCATCCTTTCAAAAGTTTTGGGCGATGCCGGCGTTTCCTTGTCGCGGGAAGACCGCCGGGTTCTCGATCCGCGTATTGCGCCGGGCCTGGACATCTCGAATCACAGGCTGACTCGGGACATACGGACCGTCTCCATAGGCCCCGTACTGCCCTTGCATATCACTATAGTACGGATTATCCTCGTAGAAGGCAGCAGCCGGATGGGTGCCAGACATATGGCTTTCTTCCGAGGCCTCGGATCTATTGGCTGCGGAGTAAGCAGATGAAGCATTGGACGGACCACGGTGGATGTCAGTGGTGCGATTATTAGAAGCTGCAGGAGCAGCTCCCAAGACCCCGATTGGTTCAGTTTCTTGCATCTGTCCTTCGGAAAATTGGATAGTACCGTCACTCGGAGTTGCAGCGTGATGATAGCCAGGTGCACTTCCAGCTTCCGACATAGCTAATCCCGGCCCGGCGCCGCTCGACAGATTCGTCGATGCTTTGCGGCCAGCGGAGGTCGTTCCCCATCCCCGATATCCAGATGTGTCCTCCTTGGGTTCGTATGCAGCGCCGGCACCCATGATGGGCGGTAGTGTCGGATCGTTATTTGGGTTGAATCCGTACTCCTCCACCTCTTTTCTTCGTTCTTCCTCCGCCGCTTTCTTTGCCTTCCATTTGCGCCAGAAGTACAAGGCAGCTAGGATGATCAAAGCAACGGAGACGACAGGTACGACTACCGCTACAGCGATTGTGCCACCAGCAGAAAGCCCTGAACCACCCGAGCTTCCTCCTGTAGACGATGCGGTGGCTGACGATCCGGATGATGTAGTTGTCACTCCATTGGCTGAATTTCCAGTCGGGAGAGTTTGAGACGTAGACTCCGTCGAAGTAACGTAAATGGTCGTCGGCCCAGTATTTGTATCGGTAGGTGATGCAGTAGCGATAGTTGTAGTGACGTCGTCGGGGCTCCGAGAGGTCTCGGAACTGGTGGATTGTGTGGTCTGTGCAGTCGTGGTGGATGAAGTGCTTGTCGTGCTTGAAGTGCTTGTACTACTTGTAGTGCTAGTCGTTGGCGGTTCTGGTGGAGTGGACGTCGTTGAAGTTGTTGATGAGGTTGTCGAGGACGTTGAAGTTGGCTCGGACGCGGTGGGTGGAATTGGCGTCTGCTCAGCAGTTGTTTGGGCCGGAGTACCGCCATTGGCGTTGACACTCGTCGGAGCCGCCTGTGCTGCTTCTATAAAATCGTTAATTGATCGTCTGATCGCGATTGAACGACAATTCTGATAGAGAAGGGACCATCGTGGGCAGGCTGGCTAATCCATACCAGAAGACATGATTCAGTAGCTCTCCTGAGGTAGTACGACCAGAAAATTCTCTCTCCAAGAGAAGTCTAATGGTACAATCGGCAGCGCAAAAATCAAGACGCGCAGATAACGTGGGTACAGTTGTCTTGTATTTTAACGCGAACGGCGCTTCCAACTAAGATGCAGGGTCGAGCAATTCACTTTCTCGACGTTGTTGGGGTTATCAGCAGACCGAAGGTTGACCGACCGTGATTTCGTGGAGGGAGAGTGTGGGCCGGAAGTCCCATCAACAATTGGGGAAAGAGACAAAAGTATGAGAAATGAAACAAAATAATAGTGAGTGAGAGAAGAAATGATAAAGAGTGGCTGTCGATTACGACACAGTAAACGATTGTGCGCGCAGCAATTATAGGAGTTGCAGTCAGATGTGGTCAGAATTGAGGCCGACGGAGGTACAGTCTGCGGGACGGTTGATGATGATCAGGGGGGAATCGAAATGGAAACGTCCACCGGGAAGACGCAGGAAAGAGACCTGGCAGGTACCTATACAGGCTCCATGAGATGACAGTGGAAGACAATAACTGGAGATAGATGATAATAGGTACAATATAATGGTAATGATAAGGTTAATTCCACCATTTGAGAAAGGAAACGGTCCGAAGGACGAAGGAAAAGCGAGTTAAAAGAAAGGGAATGAATCGAAGTGAGAGTGGAGATGCAGAGAATATCTAGTAATAATACAGATGGATCATAGATCACGAGTAATAGACTCCATTGCTAAAGCTGGTTTCTCTAGTGGTATTCATCCCTAGTGACTTTTAAGTGGGCTCAAATTCTTCTACTTCCTCTTAAGAGGGGGACCATATTCGGTACATATCTACCTGTTGGCAAATGTGCATACTGAGTTCCCTGGTACAGTAGTATCTAGCTATCTAATGACATATTAAAGTCTTCTATTTCCAAAACTAGCACCTTAGAGATTGTCGCGATTGCTCTGACTTAACTTAAGACTATAGCTAAATAAAAACATTGTGTGCATTCTTTAAAGCAAATGTGTCCAACAGTTAGGTACCACAAGGTACTGAATTTGGTGTGCTTGCTGTAATTGATTACCATTCACCACAGGCCCATGGAACCCTCCGGTATTATTAGCAAAAGACAAATGCGGCCATGCGAGCGAATGGATTACAGAGTACGCCAAACATCCATGTACTTTAGGAATGGAAGTGCGGAGTTACTGCTGCAAGTCTTTCCCGCAACCAGCATGTATATTTAATATAAAAGTTGTTTTCATATCTTACAACGGAGGTAAGTTAGTTCCTCATGCTCTCAGCAACGGCATCTTCTTTACTAAACAAACATCTGGGACCCGAGTGGCCTTTATTTAATGTTTGCGTCAACGGTATCCACAGAGGAATTAGTTCGCTTGATCTGTACATACACAGCAGTAGGTACGG